ATATTTTTTTGTCATTCTTCTTAATAAATTCAACATCCTTATTGGGTTCTTTCACTTTATTATGCATTATGGAATTTATGGTGTACCACATAGATTTTTTGTCTCCATTAGTCAAATTTTGTTCATAATAATCCTGTTTTTTTTCCCTGATGTTTTTTTTTGACCAGTTTGTTATAATGTTGATATAATTCAGCAGCAGTTGATTCACCATTTTTTTCTTTCTTCATTTGAAAATATTTGTCACGTAATTTAATTAATTTAACTAATGTTTCATCAAACCAAGGTTTAGAATCTTCTTTTATTTTCAAAGTTGTAGTATAGGAGCAATTTTCAAATACATCGAGAATTTTTTCATAGATTATGTTAGGGTCTTTATATGTGTTTATAGGCATCATCAAGAGTTCATTCTTCAGCATATCAACTTTAATTTTCTGTAAATCTATTCTTTTGAATTTTGTTTTTTTGATGTTACTTTTTAATGGAAGATTCACAATCTGAATTTTGTGATCACTAATTGGTGAGTCTTTCAAACATATTTCAATGTTTTCGCGCGAATTTGTGATGACATGGTCTATCAGACTGGTTGTATTGTTACTGACTCTTGTTGAAACATGTTTGTTGCATAAATCGAAGCTGTTTGATGAATATATGTCCATGAGTCTTTTTGTATCATTATCATTCTGCTTTGAAATATCAATATTTACGTCACCCAGTAATAAGCTTTTACATCTTAATTCACCCAAATTTTCCAATTTTTGATCGATGATATTATAAAAACTCTCTTTCCTGAAGGATGGTGGTGGATATATTCCACTTATAACAAAGTTGATAGTGCTTAATCTTACTGCCAGATAAGATAATTCCTGTTCCATTTTATCAAGTATCTCAAATTCCAAATTCTCATGGATAAAGATTCCCAATCCTCCCCCTCTCTTTTCCCTACTTGCATAAATAGAATGGAAATTTTTGAAATTATAGTATTTTTCTTCTTCTCTCCTCACCCATGTTTCGCTAATTACAATTACATTGATATCTTGGTCAGCTACTATTATATCAACTTCATCCATTTTCGTCTTCATAGATCTTGCGTTCATATATAATATTTTTATTTTTCTATCTATTTGATTATTCATCAGATTCAGATTAGTTTATATAATCGATTTGTTCTCTGGCAATTTTGATTCTGTTGAGATAAATAGGACACTGGATAGTATTAGCTTCATGTATATAGTGATTTTCTTTTCCAAATTTAATGTGTGCCATTTTACAGTTTGTGCAACACGGAGTAGATTTATCGCAGTTTTTAACGTCATGTTCACCAGCACAAAAAGCGCAAACTTTATTGCGGTTACACTCTGCCGTTTTATGTCCATAGCCACAGCATCGGTAACAGTACCTTATATTGATATCTTCCTTAATTTTGCATTTATTCCATCCAATACATATTTCCTTATCAACCAATTTTTTCAAAGTTTGTCCTGAAGTTTCAACATAAGCAATGTATTTTTTTGAAAATTTTGACTGTCTGGTATATTTTACGTATAATTTATCATCCACGTCAATATGCCTAAGTACTCTCAATTCATCCTGGAGTTCTTCATCTGTGTATTCCCTTTGGAGTCCTATGAATACCATCCTAGGTCGATTCATTTTTGTGATATGTACAATATAATCAGGACCCAATTCTTTTTCACTCAAATCTTTCATTCTTGCTATTTCTTCATTACTGTTTGTCTTTATAATAATTCCTCCATTTTTTAGTTCCCTCACACTTCTAATCGATGCTTTGGCTTTCACAGGATTTATTTTCTTATGTATTTCTTCTTTAGTGAGTTTACTAGTTTGAGTTTTTTTTGGTCTTATTATTAATGAAGGTATATTTTGTTGAAGGACTGGTTCTTTCACTGTGGCTCCACTGACCATTTCAGCATATGTTTTATTTTTATTCATGTCGGGCAATTTCGTTTCGAAAAGTTTTATTAGTTTATCATCAATTTCTTTCAGTTTTGTTGCAACGTTCTCATCTCTTTCCAAAATATCTTCTATTTTTTCAATTTCCTTTATTATGTATTCTATTTTAGTATTTATTCCATGTAAAATTTGTTCTAGCGAGTTTTTTCCTGCTTCTTTACTTTCAACTATACTTTTTGTATCATTCTCTGTTTTCTTGTGACACTTATTACATACCCATTTAGATTTAAATTTCTTGATTTCATTGATTTCTTTCCTTGATAATTTTGAACAATTAAGGCAAATCCAATTCTCACAAACTGTGCATTGGATAGAATATGATTTTCTGTTGAAATGTGCTGAACAAATGGAACAAATTTCACCATTTTTGCTCAAATTAGCAATAGAATCGAATCGAATTTGAAGTACTACTCTGCTATTATTTCGACACATTCTGATGGATATATTATGTAACATGCATGATAACTGATTCAATCTGAAATTGCATATTCGTTAAACGAAATTCGAAAAGTTTCCATGTAAATTCCATTCCATAGGAATTCTGATATCATGTGTATACCCATTTGACTCATAGGATAGTTATTTTCCACTCTTACCGATACTTCCGAATTTTATTATTCGAATATTATTTTGTCAAGTAAATGCCGTAACCTCGGCCGTAACCAATTCCTTGCAACTTTCTGATTATGTACAAAAATCTGCAAATCGCATTGTTCGATGGCCCTTTTGTTGGATTTGACGTGGATTTGACCTTCTTAGAGACATCGGCTAACAAATTCTTCATATTTCATCGACGTTATGTAGAAATGGGTGAATCGCACTTCTGATCAAATTTTCTGAATGGAGGCATCGTAGATGGACACAATTTCAAGACTCACACACATTTTTATTCACTCAGGATGGCTTACAATATCGACAAATGATTCGTTCTACGATATTAATCGACTGAACTTGCTTCAGTCTTTTTTCACACGTTGATTACGAATACCGATGAGTCGGCGAGGCCATTTGTGATAAGGCATTCCTTAGGCGTTCTTATCATTCACGGGGTAATTTGAACACCGTCGCTAACAGTATACAAACCTCGGTGAGAAGTTTCATTCCTGTCTCGAGATCATAGCTAACATCGACACTTTGCGTCTCGGTTGACTAACTAATCTAACGACAGGAATGAATATCTTCCCACCTCGGTGTGTAATGTACTATTAAAACATGCATCTCTTGGACCTTCAACTACTGTGAAGAAATTCCATCTCTAATAGCAGAGCTGCTATCTCGCTTTGTGACACTATTGGTCCACTCTGTATATCAACTGAACAGGAAGCAATGTTATTCACTTAGTTCAGAAGAATGCAAGCGGATTCCTTGATAGTCCTCATTTTGAAATCAATCCACTCTACCATATATTATGTTGTCCATTTTCAGTAGGATATGTTTACCTAGTTTCGATTTCCCGATTTATATTATTTTATATTGTACTTATGCTCTAATGTTTTTATTTTTTTTTGTTGAAGACGATAATTTTTCGATATATATCTCTTCTTCAAATATTGTTCAAACCAAACGAAAGATTTCGCATATTTTTCACATCCAGGTCACTTTCGGTTCCACCGGAAATGGTTCCTGTTTTGAATTTTCAAATAGAAAGCCTGTATTTTATAATTGGATTATGAGACAATTATGGATTAGCATTTCCAGTAGTTCTTACGCCTACTTGATTTTTTTAGAGTCACTTTCAATATTGTATCTAGTTGGCCATGATGAGACGTAATCTTATCTAAGGAAATCGAGTGATGTCAGAAAGTTATAATCAGAAAGTTTTAGTGACTAGTATGATCAATAAGAAAGAGACAAGTTGACAAAATTGCATTTCCGTGTCCAACCGTTATTCTTCAAATGGCAACCAATTTTTGACACATACTTTCCCAAAAAAGGATTTTTTGAAGAATCTATCGATACTAATTTATTTGCGATTTGATTGAAAATAAGAACATTCATTCAATGTTTCAGAGACTTTGATAATTCCATTTCTTATTTGAATACCTACTTATGAAAGACAAGGTTGATATTGCATGATTATTTGCATTTTTTTTTACTTGTTATATCTTATTATAATTTCATAATTGTATGTATAACATTATGTATATTGTTTATGTATCCCTATCATAAACAACTATGTTTCTTGGGGTAATAAAGACAATCAATCAATCAAAATACTGGATATTAATTTATTCACATTTGTCAAGTGTGTCATGGATAGCCATGATGTATAATATTTTTCATTTATTTTTTCCGAGTCTTTCTAACACAAAACAGTGACAGTGACATAAGCTTAACGAGCAGACAGTAAAAGTATGTTTGTTTTCGTTAAATTTCAGTTTAATTTTCTGTCAAAATAATGTATAATCAGAGTAAAAAGTGGATACCTGAGTATTTCGTTTTCCAAAAAAGCCTCGAATGAAAAAACTGCAAAATATTATGCATAATGGCTATCCTTGACGCACTTGACAAATTTGAATACATAAATGTCAATTATTTTTCATGGTAATATTTAATGTATCTTCTTATTATCAATACGATCGCAAATGAATTAGTTCCGTTAGATTCATCAAGAAATTCTTCTTTCCAAAAAATAGTTGCCAATTGCAAAATAATAGAGACGAAAATGTGATCGATCATACCAGTCACTGATCATTTGCTATTTTCACTTTCTGACATCACATGAGGTCCTTAGATAAGTTTACGCCCGATCATGGTCACCTAGATGCAATATTGAAAGTGACTCTAAATGAGGTAGGCGCAAAAACTTTTGAAAATGTCATATATTGATCCAGAATTGTCTCAGAAATCGAAAAATGTTATAATATGCAGGGTGTTCCATTGAAAAATTCAAAACCGGAAATAATACATATTTTTCATTTTATAGAAACGATGAGAGAAAATCCCAATAAATCTGAAAAAAAATAGTCATGTTTAAACATTTTTCACGTTAAAAATGGAGCATAATTTGTTTGTAGCAAAAACTAGAGATGCTCGACAGTTTGATGGAACTGGAGATCGCCTACAATTTGATGAAATCCTCTGGGTCCGATCACACAGTAGATAGTTATTACCAACAACTGAAAACTGAAATATCCGTTCTGGACAAGGAATCGGACGAGTATTCCATCATACAGGAGTATGTCAAAAATACTCACGCAGAAACGCACGGAAACTACGAATTGATCATCGACGAAGTCTACACTGTCAAACGTCAAGGTAAGCATTGTTTTGAGGGCTCACAGTCTGGTTTCCATATAGCACATCGGTGCTATTCTTGTTTTTCTCGATTCGAATGCGGAAGTTTCCTATAGATGAATTTTCATAGAAGTTTGGAACTTGACAGTTTTATGTCCACGCTGTATAGATAAAGTACAAGTCGTTTTTATTTTCAAAAGGAAACAATTTCCAATTTTCGGGGCGGCAAACTGTGACGTACATTCTGAATCTAGTCTGAATTCAGCTGATGACGAAGGATATTCGCGGTAGAAAATAAGCGTGCGCCACCTATCGGAGTTCTTGAAAGCTGTCAAAGCGGCCTGTTTACTTTGTTTCCATTGGTTCACATTTGTTTTTTGTTTGTGTTTATTGGTCATATCATCAAAACAAACCGCTTAGAAGAGTTCAAGTTATTGCCGTGAGGTGTGACGACGTGATATTTTTTGTGTCAAATGAGCTTGGTTTTAACACGTTTTTGGCTTTTGGCCCCATCAATTCTAAATTGATTTTTGGTAATTAAGTGCGCTCTCTCAAGGGTACGGGAGCCTTTTCCTGTATTACAACCAAAATGGTTACTAAGAGCTCCTTGTGTGCTCGTCAAGTTTCTCTTCTGGTACTTGACTTTTGATTTTACAAGTGCGCGTTCTTAGGGCACGGGGCCCTTCATTTTAAATGAAAACCCGTTCATTCCTCCAAAACCTATTTCATGATATAATGATGAGACATCGGCAACATAAAAAAAAACAAATAATAATTATTATAAGTTCGAAACATGTCCCGTTGAATAACTACATCATTATTAAAGTTGTGGAGATGACTTTGAGCTTTCCTTCCTCCTTTCAATTGTATGAGCTATAATTTTGAATTCACTTGGTGGATTTTTGAGATATGAACGATAAATCTGAAATAGGGACCTTCTACGTCGCCTTCTGCACTTGGCTCACCTTGTAAGTTCGGAGACTCCTGGAATTTTTACTGTCCTCTACACCCCCTTATTGAGAGTTCATTTTATTTATTTATTTATTTATTGAAAATGTGACTTCCAGTCAGAATCAAGTTCTGGTGGAAGGAAGTATAGTTAACAATAATACCAAAAACTATACAGTTATAATAAAGTCATAAATAATATAATATTTGAAAACATCAATTATTGAATTTTGACAAATCATTTTGAGCAACAAACAATTTGAATATGAATCAAAAGTTGAAAAAAAAATCTATTTCGTTCAGAAATGATAATTTTTTTAAGTTGGTATTTGAATTTTATTGTATTTCTGCAATTTTTTATATTATCTGGAAATTTGTTATATTCGAAAAGAACAGCGTGGGTGAATCTTTTCTGGCCTATAGAAGATTTAGCGATATCAAGATGAAATAAACCATATTGTCTAGTTTGGTAATTATGAATTCCATTGTTTCGCGTTGAAATAAAATTGGATTTCAATCTTTTATTTATTATTATTTCAATTTTGAACGTTTCTTCTTATGAGAACGATTCAGTTATTTTTATATAATTGATTTGTTGGTGTATCATGTGGTAAACGATACAGTACTTTCAATGTCTTTTTATTCAGGGTGTTAACAAATAAGTGTCACAACGGAAAACTGTAGATGTCTCATGATAAAAGAAACATTTCTTTCCTCTTCAAAATTTTTCTCCGGGCTTCCGTTTTCAAGATACAGGGCGTCAAAAAATCAAAAATGTTCAGTTTATTCAAACACACTTTACAACACTTAATAAACTTAACAATTTGAAAACCAGCATCGAGACCAGCATACTCAAGAACCTGACATTTTATTAAACATATCATTAGACAGTCCTGAGGGGTTTATTTTCAGTGAATTTTTAGACGATTTTTGGAGATACCATCAGAATTTTGTATGTTCTTATTCATAAAGAGCCATTTTTCTCGGAAACTGTTCACTTTGAAGCATTGAGACAAGAGGATGTTTTTTGTGTGAAAGATATTGGCGCTTCAGAATCTACTTTGAAAATTACTATTTCTCCAGTGCCATAAATGTTTGAGGGGTTAAACCCTTACGAGGCGTTGAATTCTACTCCACTGACATTTCCAAGGAAATTGATCAAGAGCCCTAAAAGTAGTCATTATTGATGATGAAGTGTGCACGAAGGATTAACTCCGTAGCTCAGACGGTTCCTGAGATAGTAGCAAAAAATGGATTTTTTTGTATTTTTCTGATAACGGAAGCCCGGAGAAAAATTTAGATAGGGAAGAAATGTTTCTTTTTACATAAGCAATCTACAGTTTTCCGTTGTGACACTTATTTGTTAACACTCTGTATAATGCAGATATTTAATTGAAATTATTTTTTGAATATTATCCCCAAACATTATAAATAAAGCTATGAAGTCGTTAGGATTCTTGATCCGTTCCTGTAAGGAATTCAAATCATTTGATGCTCGACGCTCTATCTACGTTTCCTTGGTGAGGAGTAAATTGGATTACTGCAGTGTAGTGTGGAATCTCTGTCATAACAAATATAAAGAGAGAATAGAAACTGTGCAAAGTAAGTTTTTGAAATTTGCGGTTTTTGAAAAACATGGAACATATCCTGTGAGACATCATAGCTATGACTCATTACTGAACGAATTCAATTTAATTTCTCTAAGGAAACATCGTGAGATTGTTGATTGAACTTTTATATACAATATTATTCATAACCATATCGATTCATCCTCTTTACTTTCAATGATTGATTTTAATGTACCTCGTTCGATTTCGAGATCTAATATAACATTTCGCATAGTTGTACCTAACTCTCAACATCATTTTCATTGTCCTCTTACGACAATATGTCGAAGTTTCGATAACTTGCAATGTATCGACATATTTTTTCTCTCATTATCTCAATTCAAGCGCCAACTATTCAGTGTTTTATCAAACTAATCATGTTTCTTTTATAATCGATGTTAGTATTACTAATTCTAGTTTGATATTAGTGATTCCTAATTTATCAATAATTTGTTTTATTTCTGACAGTGACATTATAAGCTTATATCGTCATAGTGTCTATATCTATAATGAGGGTCATAACTCCCTTGGGATGTTATAGATGCTATAATTCCCTCTAGCTAAAATTAAATAAGAAATGCATAGCAACAACCACGCAATAACGTAGCAATAAGGAATCTCCTATTCGCGGTAGTCAAGATCATCATCTGACGTTCTGATGACATTGAAACTATACGGAAAAACATGTCTAACTTCCAATCGGGAAGGTATCTAATGAATGAAATCAGTCAGAAATAAAATTATCTATGTATCACGGGAATTATAGAGCCTTAATAACCTCTGGCAATTGCTGTCCCTCGGGCCAGAGGCCCTCGGGACGCAAACTTTGCCATCGGTAATTAAGGCCCTCATAATTCCCTTAATACATAAATAACTATTATGCGTACACCTGAAAATGGGCGTCAGCCTGCTGGATGTATTATTGAATAAATAAATAAATAAATAAATAAATGAATAAATAAACATTTATCAAATAGTTGGTACGACTGAGTAGCTAGAGGTGTAGCCCATCACGGGGAAGTCAGCAGCCCCAGAAGTTGGAGGCCGCAGCCTACTCCGTGACAATATGAGAATATAGAATTATATTTGCTACCTATTAATCCAGCTTGGGACATCTTTTCATTGACCGAAGTACCTTGAAAAGTTTTTTTTTCCTCATTTCTCAGGCGAGGACAAGCGCTTCAAGCCGTTCCGCAAGCTGCCCAACCGCAAACTGCTGTGGCACGGATCGCGCGTCACCAACTTCGCCGGCATCTTGTCTCAAGGGCTGCGCATCGCTCCGCCCGAGGCGCCTGTCACCGGCTACATGTTCGGCAAGGGCGTGTACTTCGCCGACATGGTGTCCAAGTCGGCCAACTACTGTTCCACTTCGACGCAGAGCCCCAAAGGGCTGATGCTGTTGTGCGATGTGGCGCTCGGCAATGTGAGTATGCAATTCCAGTGATTTTTCCACCCATTTTGAAATACTTTTGAGACACACGTTTTTGATCAGTTGAAATATTTGTTATTCCAGATTTTTTGTTATTTTCACTCGTCTCTATTAAATTATTATTTCAATATAAGTGTAGTAAAGACAAATCAGATGATTTGCCCCAAAATGTCACTGCTTTTAAAGAATTTTCCTATCAGAGCCTAAAAGGAAAATTCACTAGCTTGTCAGTGACAATTTGTATTGAAAAAGAAGAGAAATGAAGGCATATAGCAATAATATCAAATGTGTACTAGGTGGGCCAAAAGAAATCACCCTATTGGAAGATACTCTTATTTTTGCAAATGGCGGTCAATGTCAGATCTGTTTCGACATTTGTGAACTAGACAGATGTAGAATACAAGTGAACAAGCCATGGAGCGATACACTCCCCAAGGAAGCGGAATAATCCAAGCCAAGCCATCCTCAATCTCGTGGACGATTTTTCGACCAAAATCATAATGAGCGACAAGGCTCATTTCCACCTCAGCGGGTACGTGAACAAGCAGAACTATCGCTTCTGGGGCACTGAAAATCCACGAGTGATGCACGAGGAGCGATTACACCCGCTCAAAGTGACTGCATGGTGCGCTGTTTACTTTGGAGGAGTCATCGGGCCATTTTTTTTCGAAGTCGCCGCTGGTCAAACGACAACAGTGGATGGTGCGTGCTATAGGGCCATGTTTACCGAGTTTTTTCTGCCGCAATTGAACGAATCAGTACTGGAGGACATGTGGTTCCAAAAGGACGAAGCAACGGCACACACTGCGCGAGCCACAACCGATATTCTGAAGGCGGCGTGCCCAGATCGCCTCATCTCTCGTTTTGGCGATTTGCTCTGGCCCGCAAGATCGCCCGATTTAACCGTTTCAGACTTTTTTGTGGGGTTTTTTGAAGTCTTGTGTTTACGTGAACAAGCCTGAGACCCTGGAAGCTCTCGAGGACAACATTCGACACGAATGCCCAAATCTGTCGCCCGAAGATCTTGCCGAAGTGATGAAAAATGCCATAAAACGAGCCCGTATAGCAATCAATTGTGGCGGCGCCTATTTGGCCGATATCATCTTCTCGACTAGACCAATAAAATTCTAAAGGTTCAAATAAACATAATCAAAAAACAGAATCGAAGCTTTTCATTTAGAAAAAAAATGAGAGCCAAATAACATCGGATGACTTCTTTTGGCCCACCTTGTACTTATCTTTGGACGTTTCGGGAACGAATCGTATTTGTCTTGACACTTCTCAGTTCTCAGTGACAATTTGTGACGTTAACAATCATATGAATTACAGGATGTTTTCATTAATTAATCTTGAATTTACCATTTTCATTTTCAGATTTTAGTAGTGAATACAGAGATGTATAGAAATTCAACTGGTGGGCTCACTCTTCAATTGTTTTGTCAGACTAACTCTCGATATGGAACAATTGCAAGCGAGTTTTGGGCGTGGGGTTCAGGTATTTGCGATAGAGGCGCCATAATCGGAAAATCGTTCAAAACCTTGGTTCTGTGAGGGATGAATCTTTCTCCATCATTGTTTTGTGGTCGAATAAATACTGTGCTCAACATTTTCATTCAAATTTCAATTTGAAATAGAAGCAAGAACTCTTTTTTGTAGCCGATTTTAATAAGCTTCACGTCTTTCATGACATGAACCTATTTAAAGCATGAAATCTGATGAATTTCCTCATCAAAGAACCAGAACAAAGAATGTATCAACTATTGAAATAGACCAATATCGAAAATCATAATAGGCAGATATGGTAACTGGTAATCACCTTAGAATTTATTCACACCAGTTCACGCTAATATTTCATATCACTCAAAATAATACTGTTGTAGAACATAGATTTTCTTTTTTTATGGTGGATTAGGTATTATACACAAAATTTAGAAACTACGGAACACGTCCCTAACGAACACTTGACCCCAATCTCAGAAATAACCATTTTTTCAGCTCAAGAATATTTTTGACATATTGAAGTTTCGATCCTTCGATCAGGAATCAGTTCACTGCTCTGATCCAAGTCATATACGTAGCCAAATATTTATCGGTCGGTAATATGTTTCCTGTAAATATGGATTGTAACCAGGATGAGCTTAGCGAGATTTACCCACGTCAAGTATGTTTATCAAAGGTTTATCAGAGTAGGCGCCATCGAGAAACTTGCAAACGACCTTCAGTAGGGAGCAAGCGCACCAGTTAAATGTCTAAACATCTCTATGAATACCATGTTCTATCTATATCAACTGAACAGGAAGCAATGCTATTGTCTCCGTTCAGAAGAATGTAAGCAGATTCCTTTATTTTTCTCTTCTGGTTGTTTTCTTCTTTTCCAATGATTTTAATATTATTCCACTCTGTCATATGTTGTCCATCTTCAGTGAGGATAATTATGTTCAGCTAGTTTCGAATGTGGAGGTGTCTTTTCTCTATATTGTAATTATGTTCCTTTGTCCTTACTGAAAGAGGTCTGTAAGCACAAGATATACTGTAAATACTGACGTCACTAATTGTCACTGAGGACTGAGAAGTGTCGAGGCGAATACGAATTTGCCATACAAAAATCCATTTTTTATGTTGAAAACGAGAACAGATTCGTTCCCGAAACGTCCAAAGATAAGTGAAAATTTGATATTTTCTCTGTATACCTTTATTTTTCTTCACACCTTTTTCTATACAAAGTGTCACTGACAAGCTGGTGAATTTTTCTATTAGGCTCTCTGATAGGACAATTCTTTGAATGCAGTGACATTTTGTGGCAAATCAATTCATTTGTCCATACTACATGTATATTGAAATAATATTCATATTTTTATTTATAGAGACGAGGAGAAAAAATTCCAAAAAATCTGGAATAATGAATGTACCACCTCCCTGATTAACCTACAGACAGTATTTTCAAATATTTGTGTTGATAATCCAAAGCTAGATGTTTTTGTATTTCGGCTGTAGATTGGCTGATAGATAGCTAAATATGCTGTGTTTTTGATTTTGTATTTCGCTTTCTTATTGTTTATTGTGAAACTAGCTTCCAGTCAGAAATAAAAACCTGGCATGAGGAAGTTGATTACAAACAACAATAATAAAATAACATAAGGTGACAACAAAAACAACAAAAAATCTGAAAATGCTAAATCGATCAAGTGATAAAAATAGCCACAGGGACTAATCAGTAGATGGCAAAGTATCTATTTTATCCATTTCATAATAAAATCATGTGTTTTTGTTAGTTCAATTTTAAATTTTGAAATATGTCTGCAATTTTTTATATTATGTGGTAATTTATTGAATTCAGCTGGAGCAGCGTGAGTAAATTTTTTTTGGCCAATTATAGAAGTAGCAAGATTAAATAAGTTTAATTGTCCCGTGATGACCATGAATTTCTGAGCTTATCAAAACAAAATTGGATTTCATAGTATTGTCAATGATAATATATGAAACTTTAAGAAAATCTATTGTATACAGGGTGTTTAAAAAAATCTAACCCCATTGCTAGGGTAGGTAGAACATTGCAAAATAAGTTGGGTTTTCTCAGTGAAAAAATGTCGTGGTGTTGAAAAAATAATTATTTTACACATTTTTCACGATTATTCCGAAACTACTGGCAACATTGTACTGCAATTTTGTATGGATGTTTCTTCAAATCTGACACATCCCATTAATTTGTTTTTATATCTGTCTCTCATAGAGGGCGCTAGTTACACGGTTCGTGCCGAGTAGTTTTGAACATAACTTTTTTGAGGTTAGATTTTTCAATCCAAATATAATCCTGGTGAAACTCGATACTATGTTCCGTTTTCGGAAAATGAATTTTATTGAGTTCAATTAGTTATTTATTCAGGTTCAAAAACAATGAAATTATTCTTGTGCCGAAGTTATTGATGGAACAAAGAATCATGAGTAGAAAATTAAGACATATTTGCCCAAAAAAATGAAATATCGAATCAGTTAGAGTAAGTGTTCAAAATGTCCTACGTTTCGAGGAATATACGATTCAATATTCTTTTTTTTTTTTGAGAATGTATTATTTTTCTGAACAGTTGAGGATCAGCTGTTAGGTCATTTAAGTGATGTTCAATTATGTCTCACAACTTTTGACGTGAATTTACCTATGTAGCATAGACTTTCTACTCAAGATACAACAAAACTGTGTAATCCATGTTCTTAGTCAAATCTGTTTCGATGTCATTCTTGTGATTCATTGTTAAATCAATGAGTTTTGCATCGGAAATGTATTGTTGTTTTCGATTTTCAATAAATAGGTGATAATTTTTCATAATACTCTAATAAATACATAGCTTTATACCAGCAACAGTTACCACTTCATCATTTATTATTTCTTATAAAGTGCAGATATTTTACTGAAATAATTTTTTGAGCAAGGTCCCCAAATGTTTATCATATAGGTAATAGGACTGAGTATATGAGAATGAAGTACTATGTTTATGACTTTTTTGTGTACTTCAACTCTCTAAGAAACCGAAATTCACGATTCCCAGAAGACATATTCTAATAATAAGGAATACGCATGATTTTTTGTTTAATCGAAATTATATTCCTTCTTCCTTATAATAACATTGGATATCATTCATTAATCTGAAATTTGCTTGTGACACTAAACAATTTCATTTAAATGAAGCTAAATATGAAGTCACAGGAAAACGGGTTAGTGGCCATCACTAATATTATGACGTCATAGTATTAGGCCGCACAGCCATAGACTAGCGCGACAGAATAAGATTCAGATTGAAAAAAAAGAAGAAGAAGAAGAGGTAGTAGAAAACAGTTTTAAACGCCAGAAATTTGAAATTTGAAAATGGAAAATGATAATGTTTATACCAAATACTGTTTAGTGCCGCAATGCCTTTCATCAACAAAAGTATCACCAGGAAAAATATTCCTTTCATTGCCAGTGGGATCGAGTGATAAAAATAAAGAGAAAACAAAATCATGGTTGCAAGCCATAAATAGAAATGATTTATCCGAGAAAACCAGAGGATTGTTAGTTTGTGAAGACCATTTCGAAGTGAGTATACGTTCAAGTATGTCCCAGTGAAACCCATTATATATCAATGATTATGTTCCTCATGTTATTAGGAGAATAATATAACATGAGATTTCGTTTTCAGCTTGAAGAAGATATGGAAAACTATATGAGATATAAATTGATAGGTGGTACCTAATATATATTTGAAACAACATGCAAAAAGAAGTCCTGTTTGATCATTCCTATTGTAGATATTTGCTTATTATTCAGTTATTATTATTCAGAATATTGAGATCATATAATTGAGATAAATTATAGAAACTACAAGCTCAGATAATCATAACCTGACTTTCTCTTCTTATATTATTTTGAATCTTTCGGACATGAATGTTTGACATGACAAATAAAAACAGCCACATCCAGTCGGAAATCATCGCTGCAGTTCGGCTGTTGGTCGGAAAGTTGCAAATATTATGATTTTCAATCAGAAATTATTAAATATTCGGTGCTTAATAATGTTTTTCGGATGTATAATTCGACATCTATACATATGAGTAATGGAACAAAAATATATTCCAGTGTAAAATTTTCACATGCGTATACCCTATTGATATCTAAGGTGCCGACGTATACAGGGTGTTACATATTATATGCGCAGGACTCCAGGGTGTGATAGCTTGTTCAAGAATATGAAAAAAAGTATTAATTAACTTACCCTCTTGAATGCCCAATTTTCGAGATACACTGGGTGTTGAAATTTAAATTAAGATAATCGTTTTTTGCGAATATCTCTGAAACCGTTAACCGCACACAAAAAATATTTCATGAGCATTTCCCAATCATAATAGGCTGTTTTGTGTGGAATCATGTTCTTTTCAAGATCATTAATCGGTGGTTATTTTTCTACCTAACTTCTACGTTATTGAAAAAAAAGTCTTGAACCGCTCATTTGAATTGAAAATATTTTCTACACAAAAAAAGGTACACCTGTGGGTCATAAGCTCTAAAATTGTCCATTTTGAAGAAAATTGAAGTTTTATGTTGAGAAACATGAATTATTTTGCCTGCATTGAAGCTATAGGCGGGGACATTTCCAACAATATTAATTTAACCGAGTACGATTTGTTATCATTTTTAAAAATTTTGCAATAATGAACTTAACGGTTGGGGTGTTCACTTGTTTCAACGTTTAAATGAATATTGTTAAATCAGTAAAGAAAATATTATTCCAAAAAATTTACCATGTTTTCCAACATAAAAGTTGATTTTTATCGAAAACGGCCAACTTTAAAGGTGACGACCAAAAGTACCTTTTTTGTGTAGATAACATTGGCGGTTCAAATGATTAATCAAAACTGTACTTTTTTCAGTAACGTAGACGTTGGGGAGAAAAGCACCTACTACCCCATCAATTTTTTCACAATTATGACTTGAAGAAAACAAAATGCAAAACATAGCCTATTATGAGTAGAAAGTGCTTACGAATGCTTGCGATAAACGGTTTCAGACTCGCAAAAAACGATTTATCTTCAATTTCAACACCCTGTATCTCGAAAATTGTCCATTTTAAAGGGTTTAAGTTAATAGGGACTTTTTTATATTTTTTCGAACGATCTATTACATCTTGAAGTCCTGCGCATATATAATGAAACACCTTGTATAGTTTCATATCTGAAAATTCTATTTTTGTTTTGAATCAGGTCTTGATGTTTGAATTCTGACACAAAGTCGAACTCGCCATTGGATAACTTCAGCTAATGGCTATTTCTATATCAAATATTTACATAATGACATATTATGTTTTTTTTTGGTAGTATTTACAAACAAAATAATCAGGAGACTGAACAGTCTTCGAAATCTATCAGAAATGTGACAACGCTGAAGATGTTTGAAATCATATGAATTAAAAGAATATTTTTCTGACAGGATTCCAGAATTTCTGAATCTTCATTACTGGCATCTTCTTCAATAATATGAGTGTGAATATGCCCTTTTTTAAATTATTTAGGTGGATCATGAGTGGAAAAGCGTCCACATACGATTGTATCCAGCAGAAGAGTGTCAGAAGTTGAACTGGTACTAGAGGATGGTAGATTCCCAGACAATCTAGCTAGGCAATTTAGGCAAATAGCCCTTCGAATATCATCGACACTTTTTTAAATTTTCCTACGAAACATTTTTCACCTGTCATCAGCAAAAAATATTTGTCACAGGAAGTAATACAATAAGAAAGGCGAAAAGATACGTCAGCCAAGCATTCAGATAATAAAAGTCAAACAATCATTACCTGTTTCTCATAGGATCAGAGGATATCAATAATTTGATGAAGGTGATCCGCATTCAATTGTGGACCCTTGATTTTTATTAACACAATTCTTAATACCGGGTGACCAGTTATATTCTGAACCCATTTCAAATGCTTATATCTCTGAAACGATTCAAGTTATCGTTGTGCAGTTTGGACTAGTCTATTTTGATTTTTTCAAGTTTTGTTTTTGACACGTTCACCTTCTCACTTGAACTTCCGGTTCTATCGGAAACAAAGAAGACATTATTCAGGTATAGGGCAACTTTTTCATTCCATTGGATCACCCTGTATATTTTTGCACATTCAGAAAGACTGGTCTTTTCTCTTTCTAACAATGTGGAACAAGTTATGTTTTCTTAGAAAACTCTTTGAAGCATCTACTGCATATTAGGATGTTATCCTGAAATGCTGAATTACCTTATATTGAGTATAAATCTGATGCAGATTTATGATAAGTTTATTTGAAATTTTGTTCAACATCAGAAAAAAAATAACAAACTGAACATGAATAATTATAGCAACTGTTCAAAATGTCCTCCATTGTTTTGAATACATAGATTCGTTCTTTTTACGAAGTTATCAAAACTGCGACTCGACATATCGACGGGAATACTTTCGATCACGTTACGAATATTTTCTTTGAGTTGATCGAGATTGTAGCAACGACTTTTGACGTAACCCCATAAGAAAAAATCAAGTACTGTTAGGTCTGGAGACCGTGGTGGCCATAGTATTGGGCCTCCTCTTCCAATCCAACGATGTCCAAAGGTGGCGTTCAAAGAATCTCTTGTGATCGCTGCATAGTGGGGAGTAGAGTCCCTGCATGTATAATTCCCTGTATATATTTGTCAGTTTTGTTGTAATAAGAGTACGGACACTATGACAAGCAGTGACGGAAGGCATAACCCCAAATTCTCGAAATGACTTTTGAACAAAGATATGGATATGTTTTTCCATGCACTTCGGATCTTCTATCCTCTACTGCCGCGGTGAAGGGTACATCCATATATCTTTCTCTGTCTTTATTTTCATGAAGCAGTGGCGTCTCATCTCACTGGCGAAAAGGGGTCATAGTTTGTAAATCAATTTGTTGAAAGTATTTCTCGATATACTTAACAAAGGGTATATGTACTTGTTGGTTAGAATGGGGGAAATGGAATTAATGAAAGGACTCGCTTCCATTTTTGCAATTCTCCTCTACACAATTAGACATTTTAATTTTTGAAAACCTGAATTTTCAAATAATTTAATGTCATGTACGTTCATAAACTGTCAGTGCCCGCCAAATTGTTCATGTCATTTCAAATTTTTTAGGGTTATGCCTTCTGTCACTGCTTGTCATAGTGTCCGTACTCTTATTACAGCAAAAGTGTCAAATACATACAGGGACTCTAGTGGGGAGTAGCTCCATCTTGTTGGAAATAAGCTATATCCAGTAAATTTTCCTGTTCCAGTTGCGGATAGAAACATTTTTCCAACATGTCTAAATACGAAAGAGTTCACAATTGGATTATTGAAAAAGAATGGACCATAAATTTTGTGCTTTGACATGGCACACCAAATGGTCACTTTTGGAGAGTCCCTGACATGTTCATGGATACTTCTTGGATTTTCCAATGCCCAAATGCGTCAATTATGTTTATTCACCCTGCCATCAATGTGGAAACTTGCTTCATCAGACATTATCAAAGTATCCAGGAAGTGTCTAGTTCTTCTTAATGCGCGAATTTTCCTGCAGAACTTCAACCTTTTTTCAAAATCAGCTGGTTTAATTTCCTGTAGTATCTGAATTTTATATGCCTTCAGTCTTAATTCTTTGGACATAATATTGTGAACTGTACTTTGCGGAATACCTGTGATGGCAGAAATTTTTCTTGTAGATAAAGTGGGGTCTTCTTGTATGCGACCCAGGATTTCTATTGCATTGTTGACCCGATTCACATTGTTGGGGGTCCTTTTCTTACGATTAATAGATTCAGTGTTCAAAAAGTTAGCATGCCATGTTTTTATTGAATTTTCCACTGGAGGATCTTTATTGAATATAGTTCTGAATCTTGTAATTTGATAAGATTTGGTTTCGGCAAAAATTGCCACACACTTAGCTTTTTCAGTTGAAGTAAACATTTTTTCAACTCGAAGAAAGTACAAATGCTCGACAATCTTTATTTGACACATCTAATCTGGCATTTCATGTGTTGTGTCCAGAATGTCCAAAGGCGACTTTGGTTACATTGCAAAATCTCATTAAACCATTCCACATGCAGTAGTTGTTTCAAACAGTTATAACTCTGATAGTTTTCTAAGAAAACATAAATTGTTATACATTGTTAGAAAGAGAAAAGAACAGTCTTTCTGAATGTGCAAAAATATACAGGGTGATTCAATGAAATAAAAAAGTTCCCCTATACCTGAATAATGGCTAGTTTGTTTCCGGTCGAACCAGAAGTTCAAGAGAGAAAGTGAACCTGTAAAAAAAACTTGAAAAATATCAAAATAGACTAGTCCAAACTGCACAACGATAACTTGAATGGTTTCAGAGATATAAGCATTTGAAATGGGTCAGAATATAACTGGTCACCCGCTATGTAAATTACATTTTTGGTTTTTCATCATGTGCGATATTTTTCTTCAGAACAGGTGAGGATTTTTTGACTTTCAATATGTGAACGCTTGTCTGACGTAGCTTCTTGTCTTTCTTATTGAAGTACTTCCTGTAACAAATAATTTTTGCTGATGAAAAAGCTTTGAGGCTTCGAAACATATCCCAATTCCAATTGGAGTTGACTGTAAGATTTTCTTCCTGTCCTATTATATTCACTCCACTTCAAGATGGATCGACTCAGATCATTAATAAGTATATAAGTTGAATATCTCTGTGAATATAATAATTGTTGGGGTTTATTGCTTATTAAACACAACATTTTGGTAACATGTCACTTGATCAATAGCCATTATATCCTCGAGACTAAATACGCGACATTATGTCCTAGCGACATTATATCCGTTGCCTTATATCCGTAACATATTGTATCCGCGCGACATTATATCCGTGGCTTTATATCCGCGTAATTATATCCGCTTGTCAATATCCAAACGGCTATGCATCATTCTGTTTTCTATCCCTTCTGCCCACATATTTGTAGTCGATTGAAATGTACTAAATTATCTGTCGGTGTTTAAACCGGTTATTCAGATTGCGTTCGATCGTACTGCTTTACTGATTCGTGATAGATTCCAATTTTTCAACAATGCCGTTGAAGTTCATTCGATCAAAATACGGTAATCCGATGCTAGTTCACGAAACACGTGAACATGCATGTGGTGGTACAATAACTTGGCGGTGTAAGCAGTTTTCGAAACATTCATGTCGTGTTGTGATACAGACATCTTTTGACAAAAATACTGGTACCTATTTTAAATTAATAAGATCTGGTTTGAATTTATAATTCTGTATAATTTGTAGAAACAATTGTTGGCATTGTGCCTGACCATCATCATGCTGCTGACATTTCTGCCGTCGATGCTGCCCAAGTCAAAGTTAATCAAATCAATTTTTGAAGATCGAATCCGTACCAATAACAATATGGAAGGATGGCATAAGGGATTAAATAATCAGGTTGCCTTCATAAATGGGATTAAACTAGAACAAAATTTAACTGAACTATCCACACAAATAAATACTGGTGCAGTACAGTACAGTTGCCCTTGTCTTATCTATATCTTGATAGATAATTCGTGATTTTCTCTGGCAAGATGAGAGGAGCGATTCCTCACTAAATTTAAAGACAAAAATGTGAAATAGTTTTTATCGAATGTTGCTTAGTCTTCAAAATACAAGGTGTTCAAATTTTGGTTTTGAATCGAAAGTGAAGTGCCATTCAAAATAATTTTATACCATGTTTTCGCCTTGAAATAAATCAGCTCATAATTTCCTATCAATAGCTAATTAAGCCTTTATAGAATAGAATAGAATAGAATAGGATAGAATATTTATTTCTCCAATTCACAAATCTTATGTTTTTGGCAAGTCAGGTACATATAAGGACATATTAAATGTGGTTGATGAGAAAAAACACATTAAATGTATGCAGAATAAAGTCATGCACGTACATTTCTGGCAATAAAACAGACTTATATAACAATAATTAGTGAGGACATATTTTTCTTCCCCAATTCACAAAAGGAGAGAAAAACAAAATTGGAATTGTAAATTGAAAAGCAAGTATGAGCTGTATGAACGAATTTTTTTTTTTTCAGTTGTTTTCATAGAGAAAATGATGAATCTGGTGAAGATAAGTATTTCTCAACAGAGTAATAACATAATCTCAGAAAGTGGTCCTTGATGACTTTTTTGAAATATTTGATATCAAGGTTGCGCACATCTCTAGGTAATTTGTTGAACAAATTCAAATTCAAAGAATTACGTTCGGATACTTCTGGTCGATATCTTTGTGGTCTCAACTTGTCAGAATCCCTCGTTGCATAATCATGGAAATCGTTATGCATCTTCTGAGTTTTGTCTCTGTTGAGATTCAAATTATAAGAGGAAAACCATGTTTCAGCACTTCTTTGAGACTGAACTTATAACTATTAATAACGATATCAAATTCCAACGAAATTGGGTGATGAAGTATGTCTGAAATAAAAATAAAATAACCGATCCGATAACAAAATTTGAACACGTTTTATTTTAAGAACGTAGCGACATTCGAAAAAAAAAACATTCTACATTTTCCTCCAAAATGCAGCGAGGATTCGCTCCTTTTAT